ACGGAGCAGAGGCGTGCTTCGCACTCGGGGCCCTCCCTTCGTGCCGGGATGGCAGACCCCCTTCTTCCTCCCCAGCCCTCCGGCGTCCGGGATCTGGGCTTCGCGAAGTGCCCCCTCCGGAAACTCTGCGGAAAGAAGACTGATCCCCCAGGGGCTTCCGAGTGGAGGGGACTCTTCCTTGGCGAGGCCTGGGTTCGAGTCTCGTGCGGCACCGAGGGCATCTGAGTCGGCTGGCAACACTCCCCATTGCCCGAGTCGTCTGAATTTGCCGGTCAGAGGGAATGATGCTGCCCTCCTCCAAGGCGCAAGGCTCCCCCAGGGGCTCCCCGGCCCCCTCGCCCCACAACTCGCCCGTCCTCTTCCGGAAGGCAATGGCCAACCCCAGCATGCGGCTACAGCGGCGCTTCACGGTGGCGCACCCACTCTGGTAAGGGGACGCTGCGATAAGGCCCCGCGCTTCGGTCGCCTTCGAGTGGGTGGGGGGGGACCTTTCTCTTTTTGCATTTATTTTTTAATATCCTATTGATTGAGTTTCCATTTTATATTGTTAAAGGACATTCATCTTTTCCCACGATGGCATTTGCTCAAATGAGCCGTCGACCGCCCTCCCTCCAACCGTACCTTAATTCTTTTCTATATCATAGCATCTATACCCCCCCAATTTGCATTAAATCCATTTCTATTGTCAAATTTTTAAACAAATATGTAAAAAGGTATATATCAACAACATTACAAGCCTTCTTAAGTCCTGCTAGTGTTGTTAATTGCTTGCCATTTTCCTTCGGATATTGTATAAATTTACTCCAGTCTTTCTGGAATACTGGTTTCGGATTTTCCTGGTCCACTCTGCCAATTCTGCATATTCAATCATCTTCATCTGCCACTCTTGTATCAATGGGACCGCAAGCTGGGGCAGAGCACCCAATGCGAATTTTACCCTCATGTACAAGAAGCTGGTTTCTACACCATCCTAGAGGCATTGCGAGAGCTCAGCCTGGCAGAGGTACTTGCGGCCCCCCAAATGTCCCCGAGGGCCAAGTGGAGATGTTTGGGGGTCCGCATTTGGCTAGAGACTCTTGTCGGCACTCGCAAGGCGCCCACAAATATTCCACCAAGCCCTCCAGCTGCCACATTCTGGATTAATTGTAGTTTCTGGGTCACCTTCCAAGGGAGCCCCACATAGAGCACATGGCAGTAGTCCAAGCGGGAGATAACCAGAGCATGCACCACTCTGGCCAGACAGTCTGCAGGCAGGGAGGGTCTGGTATCCCTCATACCAAATGAAGGTGGTAGAGAGCCGCCCTGGACACAGAACTGACCTGCGCCTCCATGGACAGCTGTGAGTCCAAAATGACTCCCAGGCTGCGCACCTGGTCCTTCAGGGGCCCAGTTACCCCATTCAGGACCAGGGAATCCTCCACACCTGCCCGCCTCCTGTCCCCCCAAAACAGTCCTTCTGTCTTGTCAGGATTCAGCCTCAATCTGTTAGCTGCCATCCATCCTCCAACTGCCACTCTCACAGGAGCTTCACTGGTTCCGACTGGAAAGAGAGGCAGAGTTGGGTATCGTCCGCATGCTGACGAACACCCAGCCCAAACCCCCTGATGTAGGTTAGCTTAGCCATCGCTCCATCCTGCAGCAGTGAGTTCCGCAGTTCTCCTGGCTGAAAATGTGCCTGGGATGCGCAGGTGGAGTGAGCTGAGCCCTCTGGTTCAAAGGGGTGCCTTTTTGCCCTGGGAGGGGTCCGTCCGTCAGCACACGGCCCCCAAAAACTTCCTTTCGTGTGGGAAAACGGCCCTCCGGGTCACCAAAGGTCATGGCGGGCCGAGGACAGGGAAGCCCCCTCCTCCGGTCATCCCTTCCCAGATGATCCCGGCCCACAATGAAGCTTTTGTGTCCCGTTCGGGTGCCAGGAGGAGAAGCGAACCAGAAGGAAAACAAGGAGCAGCGTGTTTTGGGGGGGGGAAGAGATAGAGCAATTTGCTCGGTTATTTCCCCAGGCTGGTTCAAAGCTGCTTTCAGCAATAAATAAAACCCCTCAGGTGTTGAGGGGACACACTGGTGGGTCCCGTTGAAGGAGCCCACCCCCCTGGCCCTGCGCCCCCCACCCTGCGACCCACTTCGAGATGGGCGTTGGGGAGACAATTGGGCGATTCTCTGCCCCGTCTGGGCTTGACGTGAGCCGGGGAAAGCGGCTGAAAGGGGACTCTTTGTTCCCAGTCAGATGGGTTTTGTGGGGAGGGTGGGGGTGGCAGGGGCTGCGGGTGGGGGGGTCCTGTGGGTGCCCAGAGGAGGAAGACGAGGATGCCGTCCCCACGGAGGCACTCCTGCGTAGGGTACGGCCTGGCCAGGACAAGGTGGGTGCCAGCTCTCCTTTCCGTTTTCCGGATTTTATTCAGGGATCCAGTGGCGGGGAGGTCCACAGGACCACGGCTGGATATGGGACACAGGGAGGTCCCGTTGAAAGGGGCAGGATGCTGCAGCACAATTGCTGACAAGAGCAAGGATGCCCCCTGCTCAAAGGATGCCACCGGCTTGACCTTTTGCTGCCAGGCCAAGTTCAGCTGTTCCTCTTCTCTTTTAAAATAATAACATTTTCTTCTCTCATATTGAAAGCTGCTCAACAGTTCTATTCCTGTTCAACAAAACTGGCGACTTCTTCCCCCGAGTTACCTAGCTTTGACGTTTATAACCGCAACGACATACAATTGCGTTTTAAGGTTTATCCAATTTCCTCTTCTCTGGCACGTTTCTGCTGTTTTCTGCTTTTGGGAAATAAACTTTTTTCAATAGATCACAACGGCTTTCCCAGTCTTATCTTTGAAAACGAAGAAAATAATTCCTAATGTACAAAAGTTGAAATGATAGAACAGGTTGGAATTCACTTTCCAAGCGCCTGAGTCTGTTTTCTCCCGTTCCGGAGGGCAGGACTCGAACCCGCGGCTTCGAGCGACAAGGAAGGAGATCCCGACTCAACGTCAGGAAGGACTTTCTGACAGTCAGAGCTGTTTGGGATGGAAGGTGGTGGCCTCTCCTTCCTTGGAGGTTTTTAAGCAGAGGTCAGATGGCCATCTGTTCTGGATGCTTTAGCTGAGATTTCCGCATTGCAGGAGGGTCAGGCTGGATGACCGCTGGGTGTCCCTTCCTACTCAACGATTCCCCTGATGTCTGTAACACCTGTGGATCTTGGCTCCCTGCCTCCGCCCTTCTCTTCCAAGTCCCTGGTGGGCCGCACGCTTTTTCTCTCACGGCGTCATGGAAATGGGCGCAGGGCCAGCAGGCGAGAGTGGCCCCGGCCGCTCCAGACACAGAGAGACAGCGGAGGCAGGCAGAGACTGGGGTGGGCAGATGGGAAGGAGGGGGCCGCTGGGGTTTGGTGTCCCCAAAAAGGGTCTGCTGTGACCCTCTTTTGCCCCAACGAGGGGGGTCACCGCTCTGTCCAGATATTGGGATTATATGGGGGAGATCCACATGCACATATTCAGGAAATGCAGGGGGCATGCTAGCCTACGGAACTCCCTGCCACAAGACGAGAGGCGGCAGCCCCCAGCTTGGGCGGGGTGGGGGGAGAGCAAGGCCCTTGGCGTGAGAACAGGAGCCGGTTCCTAAATTCATGAAAACTGGGCCATCTCCCGAGAGCTTCTCGTCCCTAGAAACACATATATATCTGAGATGAAAGCCTAGGAAGCGATTATTTGTTTTGCCTGGGTCAGGAGTCGGGAGCAGAGGGAGAAACATCTGGAGAACCGCAGGCTTTGCCCCCCATCCTGGCTTACGTACTTCGTCTTTTGGGGGGGAGAACGAGCTTTTTCACGTACGCAGCAGCGACAGAAAATATGCAGAATCCAACCGCCTGTTTTACAGCTTTCGCTGTCGGCAGTCGGAAACTGGCATTCGTGTTTATGCAGGGAAAGTTGTGCCTTTTCTTTTTAAAAGGAAGAATTAAATTAAGCCGTAGGCTAGCGCACTGCTGCAGCACCCTGCAAGACTCATTTTCTTCTTTTGTTAACATTTTATTCGTTTTCAAAAATAACAGAAATAAAAACAACAATGCAAAATCAAATCAAAATAAATTGCAAGCCCGTTTTTGACTCCCCAACAATAGTCTCCAGGGTGGTTGTGACGATTAGGGGAGAACCAGAGTCCTTTTTGTTGGGGATAATTCAGATGTCAAAAAAGGTTACTTATGTCTGCCACTACTGCAGCCCATGTTTTGTTAGCCCAAAAATGGAAAACGAGTGAGGGCCCAACCAAAGAAGAATGGCAACTTGAGTCGGCGAAATATGCGCAGCTTGCGGACTTAACATATAGAATAAGAGAACAAGAAGAAGATACGTTTAGCGAGGAGATTGGAAAACGGTTATTGAATATATGGGGATATTGTGTATGTTTGAAAATGCTGGCAGCATTACGATAAATTCAGCAGTGTAAATAAGTTTTGATGGATGCAATAATGGAATAGTGAATGCTTTAGTTTTTGTGAAAATGGGCAGGGATTTATGACATGCAAAATGAACCATGGAAAGAGAATAAGGGAAGTCATTTTTAGGAAGTTTAAATGAGTATTGTAAATTGTAAAACAGAAAATTATATATACCGTATTTTTCTGTGTATAACACACCCCCATGTATAAGACGACCCCTATTTTTCTTAACCCAAAATTAAGAAAATGCACTATGCACTGTCCGTGTCTAAGACGACCCCTGATTTTAAAGTTCGAAAATTTAGGCGGAAAGATAGTCTTAGACACGGAAAAATACGGTATATATAAAATGAAAATGGGGAGATGCGTCTGTGCTGCCTGGAGCTCCTGGGATGTAGATGGAACAATAGAGAAATAAATCAAAAGAGGTGTGCCTGTTAAATCGTGGGACAACGAATAAGTGGTGCCTCCAGCGTCAGAGGCAGTCTACCTCCGAATGCCCGGTGGTGGGAAATGGCAGGGGGTGGCTGTTGTTTCTTGCGCCTGACGCCCCTCTCTCCTCTCTTTCTCCCCCCAGTTTTGACCTCGAGAATGGCTTCTCCCCGGGACGGACCCCTCTGGACGCCCAGACCCACCCCGGCCTGGGGCTGGTGCTGCAGGGGGCCACCCCTCATGGCCAGCGCCGCGAGTCCTTCCTCTACCGCTCAGACAGTGACTACGACCTCTCACCCAAGGCCATGTCCCGCAACTCCTCGGTCGCCAGCGACATGTGAGCATGCGCAGAGCGCCAGGCGCCAGGCGATTCAAAGGCAGCACCCTGGGGGTGTTGGCAGTGTGGTTTCCGTGAGGGAAGGTGTAGCTGTCAGTCTGGCTGGGGTGAAAAGCGGCCGCAGGTGCCTGGGGGGCTTGGCGTTTTTGGAGTGGGTTTGGTGGGGGGGGAGGCATATGGAAATTGAGTTCTGCTGAGTCGTCCCCCCCCCAAAAAAAAACCCAGTATTGAGCCGTAAGATTCACCCCAGGCTTTTTACATTGGTGGAGGGCAAAATGCTCAAAGCAGTGAATCTCCAGTTCCCTTGAAAATAAAAATAATATAATAACTTATTATTTCTCCCTCGCCCATCTGGCTGGGTTTCCCCAACCACTCTGGGAAGCTTCCAACAGAAGGTTAAAATAGATTGAAACAGCAATCATTAAAAACTTCCCTAAATAATAATCATAATATTCCGCTGGTGGACCACTTAACAAATTTGCAAGTCCGTTGTGGCAACTGCCATGCATCGCTCTAGATGCATTGTGGTTTTTCAATATATCTGCATTGCTTCTTTTATTTCTCCATTTCTGCTTCTGCATTACAATTTGAATCCCCTAGAATTTTATAGAATTGGGAGTGTTCGTCCCAAGCATCAGAACTAAGCCTGAGGACCCCCGACCGCTTTCCGCATGCGGGGAAAGGGCTCAGCGCCTTCTGCGATGCCCAACAGAGGGCAGGAGGCCTCAAGCTTTGGTGTTGAGGTCCTGCAACTCATTTATCTGTTTTTAATCTGGAAAATGCCAGGAGGATTTGGTAGCCTACCTTGGAAGCAAACTCTTCCACAATGCAGCAAAAGTGCAATTAATCCGAACCAGCGCCCTCGTCTGTCCTCCTTGGGATTAACAGGTTTTACCTCTTCTGTTGCAGGCATGGAGAAGACTTGATTGTCACTCCTTTTGCACAGGTAGGAATCTCTTCAGGGTTGGGGTCTGTGCTTGGGGGAATGAGAGTGGGAGGAAAGGCTAGGAATTACTAAAGGTACAGGAACCCTGTCTGTGGTTTTTTGCAATTACTGAAGGTGCAGGAGCCCTGCAGATTTTTGCAATTATTAAAGGTATCCGAACCCGGATGGTTTTTGCAATTACTAAAGGTACACGAGCCCTGCAGTTTTTTGCAATTACTAAAGGTACATGAGCCCTGCAGGTTTGTGGTTTGCAATAGTTAAAGGGATTAGCCACGACCGGCTGCATCAGCATGCATGAGGGGGAGCAAACATTGCATGCAGCTGATTCTGAAAGTCCTTCCTTCCTTCCACCCCCTCCAGGTCCTGGCCAGCCTGCGGACGGTGCGCAGTAACTTCGCCATCTTGACCCACCTGCAGGAACGCCTCAGTAGCAAGTAAGTGAGAGAGAGAGCTCTGCACCGATTGAAAGTGTGAGACGGGGTAGTAATTTGGAGAAAGTGCAGGCCTTTTTCTCCTAAAGTATACTGCATTTTTCCATGTATAAGACTATATTTTTGCCCAGATTTTTACAGTTTAAAATTGGGGGTCGTCTTACACACGGAATGTTGCGATTAATTATTTCTTAATTCCTTCGAGAAATGTTTGAAAACCAGAACACTCACTTCACTCTGACAGGGACCTGATCACAATCCCCTCTGCCGCCAAATATGACACTGGGGCCTAATATGACAGAGATGCTCTGTCTCTTACAGGAGAGCATCTGGAGTTCCCAACCTGCCACCCACGTCTAAAGTCAACCTGCCAGGTGAGTTCCATCTGGGCCCTGACAATTTTTTTTGGTGGGGGGGGAAGGTGCCCACCAGTGAAATGTGGGTATGCACAGAAGAAAGCCTTCTGTTGCCCTTGTGCCAGAAATCCCCTTTAAGAAACCCTACAAGGAATTTTTTTGCAATTAGGAAAGGTGCAGGGAAGCAAAATGTGGGGTGAGTAGACAACTAAACACACCGACTCTTAGAACCAGGAATAGTCAGACCCCTAAGTGTGGGACCTGAACTCCATGAATTTGTCTCATCCTCTTTGGAAGCTCCCTAGATTGACAGCCGTCATTCCCTCCTGGGGGAGCCAGTTGTATTTTATTTGTGAAGAATATTCCCCCTTTTTAAAAAAGATTTTATTCATAATTTTTCCACAAAACCAATGAAAGAAGTTGACTCACATCAGTTCACAGTTGGATCCCTGGAGGCAGACTTAGTTACAAATATGTACATGTGGATCTGCCCCATATGGGGGGATAATCCTAGTGATTCCGAGAGCTAGCAGAGCAGTCCTAGCTAGAAGCTGGTCAAACGAAGAAAGAAGTAAAAAAGAGGGAGGTGTGCTGCGTGACTCGTCCTTTTATTACCTGGACAGGTAAGGTCACATGCCAAAGGAAGGATGCTCCAGCCAGGAAGAACAGGAAGTTTCGACTGGCTGGACCAAACATTCCCTCGCGTGTCTTCTCTAGGAAAACAAGGAATGTTATACTTAACTGCCTCTCATGGATCACATCCCACAATTTATACATTTTAGCTCATTTACTCAGCGTCAGGTGCGAAAGGAGGATATTCCCAGCCCCATCGGGAGACACCAGCAGGAACTGAACCCGGGACATTCTGCATCCAAAGCAGGCTCTCTAAGCACCAGGCTGTGGTCCTGTTAAATTGGGGTCGTGCGTGTTTTAAAACATGCAGAGCCTGAGGGAGGTGGCGAGGTCTGTGGCTGTCAATCAACGCATCTTGGAGATTCACTGGGTCCGTGGCAGAGGTGGGGGGGTCATATCCCGGTTCCCAGGGCCTTCCCGTCTCCTCCCTGCTCTGCACAAAGGAGATGTGGATCTGTCCCATCTGCAGTCCGCTTACGACCCGGGAAGTTCCTTCCTCCCTCCCTCTCCTGCTTTCTTCCTTTCTCTCTTTCTCTTTTCTAATGCCACCTCTGCGGCTATAGCCTCCGATTGACGTCACTTCTTTCATTATTCAAAAACTCTCTGCTTTTCGCTTCTTTCCCTGCCGCTGCCTCCGGGCCTGCCTCCTTCTCTCTCTCCACCATGCCACCCTGACTGCCTGGTCCCTGCCTGTATTCCCCCTTTGCCCAACCTCTGGCATTGAGGAAACTCGTGAACCGAGCGGTGTGGAAGCCACAAACGCACAAACGCACAGATACACAAGACTCAGGCCAAAGGAAGAGGCAGATGTAGACATGGCCGCTTGGAGAGATTTAAAACGGGGCACCAGTTCTGAGCACCTCCGGGTAGGAGACGGGAATCTCCTGCCTGAAACCCTGGAGAGATGCTGCCTGCCCGTGTAGAGAACACTGAGCTAAGTGGACCAGTTATCCTCCTGTTTAAACCAGCCCTTTATTTGGACTGGTGAAATGACCGCGGTGATGGAGCAGCTGCTTTGAATGTAGAAGGTCTCACGGGGGGGCACCCAAGGGTCATCCAACCCCCTGCAATGCAGGCTCAGCCCCTGGCGGCAGCGTCTCCATGCTGGGCATGTCCCCTCGAGAGCTGCTGGCGGCCAGTGCAGACAGGATTGTGCCTCTTGCCTCTCCGCAGAAGATGCATCCCAAAAGTTGGCCGTGGAAACCCTGGAAGAGCTGGACTGGTGCTTGGACCAGCTGGAGACATTGCAGACGAGGCATTCGGTCAGCGAGATGGCCTCCAACAAGGTAAGGCGCCCGGGTCAGGGTGGGACCCCCAGCCCCAAAGGGACAAGGCTCAACCTCAATCCGTTAGCCGCCATCCTGGATGGCATCTGGCCTGGGAGAAGAGGATGCTTGAGCAGCAGATGGGTCAGATCCAGCAACCAGCCTCGGTTTGTGTTCTTGCAAAGCCAGGGATGGAGAATAAATAAAGCGTTGGGAAGCTGTCTCTCTGCCAGCTGCTTTTCTCTGGAGAGGCAGAGAGCTTGTTCCCTGCAGGTGGGCAATTTAGCCTCCTCCCAATGCCCACCCAAAGGCAGCTCCAAAGCAGGGCCGGATTGAGGTTTGATGCGGCCCTCAGTTCCTGAAGGCAATGGGGCCCTTTCTAGGTCCAGCTGTCCTTTGTCAACTACAAATTGCCACTCTTTTTTGTGTTGAATAGATGCTAGATGGTCATTGATGGACCTCATAGGTATCTCAAGCCATTTGCACATCACAAACAGGAGCCGACACAACACAAAACACGGTTGCTGGATGTAGGTTTTGTTTTATTTGTTTTTTATCTTATCTTTTGGAAATGTACATCCAAGTATTTTCCCCTTTACATTTTTTTGGGGGGGCCAAGAGAGTGGGGCCCTAAGCTAGAGCTTGTTTAGCTTCTACGACAATCCGGCACTGGTCAGATCCAGCAACCAGCCTCTCTTTATGTTCTTGTTGCAAAGCGGGGAATGAAGAATAAAAAAAGCGTCGGGAAGCGTCTCTCTGCCAGCTGCTTTTCTCTGGACAGACACGAGAGGGGGGGGAGAGATAGCCTGTCCCCTGTGGCAGCTGAGCCCCCTCCCAATGCCCCCTTGCCCCCCAAAGGCAGCTCCGAAGTCTTGCCCGCTTCTTCCGTCCTCCTCCTTCTCCCCGTGCGCGCCTTGCAGCTGCGTCTGGGTACCACCATCCCCAGGCCCCCGCCAGCCAATCGGGAGGCGGAACGGGCTCCTGCCCCTCTGCCCGCGGCTTCTGATTGGGCGGCCGCCGAGAGAACAGCTCACCTGGCGCATCCCTCCGGCTGGGTGATGCAGGGGGACCCCCGTCGCCAGCGCTTCCTCCTCGCCGCTGAGCTTTGCAGAGAAACCCCCTTTCCTTTCTTTTTTGGAGGGAGAGAGATTTCTTTCCTCCTCCCCTTTTTGGGGTTTGGGGGCTCAGGTCCCCAGTCCATGCAGCTCCGTGGCCCGGCTCCTGCGGGGCAGGTGGCGGTGCGCTTCGGAGGAGGAGAGGAGGGTCGGCTTGCGAGCAGCAGCGCGCTGGGCAGGCGGGGGACCGGGGACGGTGCGATGCCCGACGCCAGCCCCCCGGGGTTGCTCGTGTTCCAAGACCCCATCGCCCAGGTAAGCAAGCGGAGCACAGGTGCCCCTTCCAAAGGTTGGCAAGCGAGGGGGCAGCAGCAGCAGCAGCGGGGACTTCTGTTCTGCTGCGAAGGTTTGGCACGGTTTTTGTTTTTAAAGTGCGTGTGCCCCCCCCCCAGCCTGGGAGGGGTGTGAATGCATGCTTGATCTGTGAGACTCGCCATCTCAGGATGTGTGGGTGCGTTTTTTAAATTATTTAATTTGTTTTTAAAAATAATTTTTATTGAATTTACCATTTTTATCATCGTCACAATCATTATTTCAAAAGCAAAATACCTTATAAATCCTCAAACCCCCCCACCCCCGCCCCCATTGACTTCCCTCAACTTCTCTTTCTGGTTTTTTGGCATATTATCTCTCCCTGCTCATTGGTTATTTCTTATTCTTTAATTTTGTTGTTGTTGTTGTTTAGTGGTGTCCGCCTCTTGGTGACCCCCTGGACCAGAGCACGCCAGGCCCTCCTGTCTTCCACTGCCTCCCTCATGCTGGTAGCTTCGAGAACACTGTCCCACCATCTCGTCCTCCGTCGTCCCCTTCTCCTTGCGCCCTCCATCTTTCCCAGCATCAGTGTCTTCTCCAGGGAGTCTTCTCTTCTCCTGAGGTGGCCAAAGTCTTGGAGCCTCAGCTTCAGGATCTGTCCTTCCAGTGAGCACTCAGGGCTGATTTCCTTCCAAATGGAGAGGTTGGATCTTCTTGCAGTCCATGGGACTCTCCAGAGTCTCCTCCAGCACCACAATTCAAAAGCATCCATTCTTCGGCCATCAGCCTTCTTGGTGGTCCAGCTCTCACTTCCACACATCACTACTGGGAAAACCAGAGCCTGAACTAGACGGACCTTAAATCATTCTTCTTCTTCTCTTATCATTTTAACATCCTGTTTCTCTTTCAACATTTGTTTTGTTAATTGCAAGTGTTGAGTCAAACCCTGCAAGTGAGTCCATTTCTTTACAATGATTCTGTAAATATGACATAAATGGCTCCCAGGTCATGAGGACTGGAAGCTTGCTTTGTTTTTAAGGACTAGCTTAGTGGTAGAGCAAACTGCCCTGCAGGTTGGATCCCCAATGGCGCCTCCAGGTAGGGGTGGGAAAGTATTTCTAATGTTAAAAAAAGGACCCTTTCAAAACCTTGCATTGGGGGGGGGGATGACACCCTAAATCTCAAAGTCTCGCTAATGCTTTTTAAGGATTTCAATATTTACCGATCTCCCTAGTGAATCCCACAGCACCCATTGTTGCAAATGCTTTAAAAACCACTCAAGCTGGAATATAAATCCATCGTCTTGCAACCTGCCCCGAGTATGGAATCCCTCCTGCCCCCCCCCCCCGGCCTCCACCATTTTTTCATAAAATTGTTTTGCCTTTACTCATTTCTGTATGTACTGCAGCTGGCATCCTGTAATTGCAACTTTTATGGGTCTCCTGCAGTTCTTGGGACTTCTGAGAGACCCTCCCCACCTCGTATTCCCTGCTCGCTTTTTACGAGGAGCTGAGAGGCGTTGCCATTCTCTCCCTTACACGTCACCCCAAATCTCTGAGCTACGAGAGACTCCGGGAGTCCCAGGCATTTGGAACGAAAACAGCCAGAGACTGCTGGCTTTGGGATAGATGGTTTTCTTTGCTCCTCTGTACAACCTGAGCAGAGAACAGAGGCTCACAGCATCAAGGCCCCCAACAGATCTCGCTTTGGGCCCCCACATTTAGTTGCAGCTCCTGCCACCTGACTTGCTCTTTTGGGGTGCTGATGAGGACACTCAAATGCAAGGCCAGTTTTAGGTCTGATGCGGCCCTCAGCTCCTGAAGCTAATGGGGCCCTTTCTATGTCCAGCTGTCCTAGGTCCACAACAAATTGTCACTGTTTTTTGTGTTGAATAGATGCTATACGGTCATTTATGGACCTAACAGGCATCTCGGCTCTATGCATTTGGCAAAGGTCAGATTAGTTCTAAGGGGAGAGGAATCACAGCTATCCTGGAATATCTTTTCCTCTAGACAGTTGTGGGGGACCTGCACCCCTTCAGATGTTGCTGCACTCCAGCTCTCATCATCCCCAGGCAGCGTGGACTCGTGGTCGGAGTTGCGTACAAACGTAGACTTGCCATGGACAAATTCAATGATATTTGGAATTGGTTTTTATAAATACCGTATTAGGTTAAGGTTTGGTTACCTACAATAACATATTTTTGGGGGGTGATGTGTACATTTTTGTTGTCACTTGTGGGTGCTATTTTCTTATCTTCTTTTGTGTCTTATCTTACTCTGTGCACTTGTAATCTTAATAATAATAATAATAGTAATAATAATAATATTTATTTATTTATACATACATACATACATACATACCCTGCCCATCTGGCTGGGTTTCCCCAGCCACTCTGGGCTGATTCCAACAAAAGATTAAAAATACATTAAAACATCAGTCATTAAAAACTTCTCTAAACAGGGAATAAAGAGAAGATACAGTGATACCTCAGTTTCCGAATGTCTCAGAAGTCGAACGTTTCAGTTTCTGAACGTTGAAAACCTGGAAGCAGATGCTTCCATTTTTAAACATGCCTCAGAAGTCAAACGGCTTCCACTGAGTCCTGTCCCCCCCAGTCTCCCAGAACAGATTGCGTTTGAAAACCAAGGTACCACTATAACCACTATATATATATATTTAAAAGGATGGTGGAGTCAAGCCACATCTAGAATGGATCGCTGCGTCCCATCTGCCCAGAGCCCTTTCCTATTGGGCCATGAGGACTAGAAGCAATTCTCCCCACTTGCCAAAACTCTCATCCCTTGAAAACATAGCTCTTAACTTTTGGTGCAATGCAAATTCTCCTGCAGCAGAAGCTGCCTATGAGTTGCTCCTTTGAGTTATTGAACTATTTCCTGCTCTCTCCCCGCAGTTCAAAAGGATGCTGAATCGGGAATTGACCCACCTCTCTGAAACCGGCCGCTCCGGAAACCAAGTCTCGGAGTACATCAGCAGCACTTTCTTGGGTGAGTCCCCCAGGGCAGCGCAATGGGGAGATGGAGAAGAGAAGGTTTGGGGCTGGAAGGATCACTCACCTGCAAAAAGGGGAGCGCATTCACCTTTCTCCTTTCCTGCCTGGCCTTGGTGCCGATCATGCCCAGGTTATGGGTTCGAGCTGTGCTCTTTAGCAGCCCATTCACACTCCAAACTCCTTTTGAGAGGCAAACTCTCCATAGCTTAAGGTAAAGGTAAAGGAACCCCTGACCATTTAGGTCCAGTTGTGACCATCTCTGGGGTTGCCGGTGCTCATCTCGCTTTATTGGCCGAGGGAGCCGGCGTACAGCTTCCGGGTCATGTGGCCAGCATGACTAAGCCGCTTCTGGCGAACCAGAGCAGCGCACGGAAACGCCATTTACCTTCCCGCCGCAGCGGTATCTATTTATCTAATTGCACTTGGACGTGCTTTCGAACTGCTAGGTTGTCAGGAGCAGGGACCGAGCAATGGGAGCTCACCCTGTCATTGCGGGGATTCGAACCGCCGACCTTCTGATCGGCAAGCCTTAGGCTGTGTGGTTTAACCCACAGTGCCACCCGTGTCCCCTGTCCATAGCTTAGTGGTAGTGCAATTCCCAGGTCGGGCTGGGAGAGGTTCTCCTACCTGAAACCCCGAGGAGTTGCTGCCAGTCAGTGCAGAGAGTGCTGAGCAACAGGGACCAGTGCCAGATTTACGTCTAAGCTCAACAAGCTCTATTTTAAGGCCCCACTCTCTTGGGGGCCCCCAAAAAAATTAAAGGGGGAAAAAACTGAATGTACATTTCCACCATAGAAGATAAAAAATACAATAAAACCTACATCCAGCAACCGTGTTTTGTGTTGTGTAGGCTCCTCGGATGTAAGTCCTGGGCCCCGCCTGCTCCCTCAAATATCCCTGCTTTGCTCCTTTGTATATATAGGGCGCCTACACTCTGCAGGGACAGTTTGCAGGGCAACGTGCGCAAATGGCTTGAGATATCTATTCGGTCCATCAATGACCATCTAGCACAGGAATCCCCAAACTCAGCTCTCCAGATGTTTTGGGACTACAACTCCCATCACCCCTAGCTAACAGGACCTTTGGTCAGGGATGATGGGAATTGTAGTCCCAAAACATCTGGAGGGCTGAGTTTGCCTATGCCTGATATAGCATATATTCAACACAAAAAACAGCGACAATTTGTTGTGGGCAAAGGACAGCTGGACATAGAAAGGACCCCATTACCTTGAGGAGCTGAGGGCCGCATCAAACCTAAATCTGGCCCTGACAGGGACCAATGGTCCAACTCTGTAAAAGGTAGCTTTACTGTGTAAATTATTTAGAACCATGAGGACTAGCACCTCCCGTAACCGAGGTCCTGTTTGCGGGCTTCCCATCTGGCCAGCCACCTTCTTACGTTTTGATATCCGCTTTTTAAAAATTAAAACATTGGCGCTGGATTTAAAACACAGTGCGGGAAAACAAGTGTGTGTGTGTGTGTGCATATATACATATACACACACACATATATACAGCGAGTGTTAGGCAAGAGGTTCCCTTCCTCTGTGTCTGTGCGTTTGTGACGGAGGCAAGAGCGAGAAGAAGCCTCTCCGGGGTGAGGTGGGGAGAGAGACCCCGTCTGCTCTCTGGAAACATCACTTTGGGGAGAGGACCGGCATTCCAGCACGCAGCATCTCCCGTTGCCATGGCGGCGGTAATATTATTAGCCTCCTCTGACGTCAATCCTTGCGTGCCTCGGGAATATTGGGGCGGGGGTCTCCCTCGGAACAGCGGGAGACTCGTGCGAGGGGCCGGGCGGGAGGGGGACAGTCGACATGGGCCGCCTTTGCTGTGTCCTCCAGAGATGATGCTCCAGAAAAGGACCCTTTTTAAAGGGGGGGGGGCTTTAAAAAGAGAAGGGGATTGGGCAAGCAGGGCTAGAAACGAGGCGGAGAACGAGGAAAGCCGGTCCTCTCTCCTTCCTCTAATCATCCCCTGTGCCAAATCACAGACTGTAAGCTCCTTGCGGCAGGGACCTGTTTTCTTTGGGCTTCGGAAAGCTTAATGCAAATCTTCGCCTTGTGGATAATTTATTTGGGGGGGGGCTGTTTGTCGCTTCCGATGAGGTTTTATTTCATCCTGCCTGTGGGAAACTGCTTTCCACACCCCCAAGAAAATTCTGGTGTGCTTTGTTTCATGGTGGGCAGCCAAGAGGGTCGTCCCTCGACCCCACCAGAAGTGGCACGCCCCGGAGTCAATTTACACCTGTGTTTTAATAATAATAATGATGATGATGATGATAATAATAGTAATTTATTATTTATACCCCACCCATCTGGCTGGGTTTCTCCAGCCACTCGGGGCAGCTTCCAACAAAATATTAAAAATGCAATTAAAAAAAATAAATCAGACATTTTTCTTTCAATGAACGGCATGCAATGAATTTTATATCCACTCCCCCTGCCCGTTTCAGACAAGCAGCATGAAGTGGAGATCCCAAACCTGGTCCCTAAGGAGAAGGACAAAGAGAAGAAGAAGAAGAAGCGGCCGATGTCGCAGATCAGCGGCGTGAAGAAACTGACGCACGGGTCCAGCTTCCGCTGCGTGGCCGCCATCCCTCGCTTCGGGGTCAAGACGGAGAAGGAGGGTCTTCTGGCCAGGGTGAGGAAGAGGGCAGATGCGGGGCTTGGGGGAAGCTGGTTCCCGGTTCCAGGAAACCGGGTGCGGATCTGATTGTTATAAGAAAAAACACTGCTCCTTTTTGGTACCCAAGAGTCCTTATGTAGGTTCTCTATTGGTAGGAGAAAATAACAGAGGCCAAGCTGAGAATATTGAGAAGCCAAGCAGCTCATAAGCCTGATCTTTATTGAACTGTTGCAACAGGGTCCTCACTCCCCACACAAGGAGGGAGGAGGAACCCAGAACAATGGGGTGCAAGCTCTTATATAGACTCCTGAAATTGCCCACCCTGTAGCCCAAGACACCCCCAAATACATCAGACGTACATCACAGAAAGAGGTGGTCCCCACAGAGCTCTGACAGCCCTGCTCTCTCCTCCTTAGGAACTGGAAGACGTGAACAAGTGGGGCCTGGATGTCTTCAAGATTTCCGAGTATTCTGGCCATCGGCCTTTGACAGTCGTCATGTACAGCATCTTCCAGGTGAGAGGGTGTCCCGGGGGACGGGTGCTTGGAGTTTGATGGGGGGGCAGTGGGGACCTGTACCAGCCAGGCTCTTCTGCACCACCTTCTCCCATAATAATTTATTCTTTATACCCCACCCGTCTGGCTGGGTTTCCCCAGCCACTCTGGGCAGCTTCCAACAAAATATTAAAATACAATAATCAAATATTAAAAGCTTCCCTAAACGGGGCTGCCTTCAGATGTCTTCTAAAAGATAGCTGTTTATTTCTTTGACATCTGATGGGAGGGCGTTCCACAGGGCGGGCGCCACTACTGTAATCGATTTGGATCATCCTAAAAGATGTGGGAGGAAATGATTCATAATAGGAGCCACAAAGGGGAGGATGGAATTCCAGGAGATTCCTTGGAATCTTGTTTTGATGATTCATGTTTCATGTATCTCTGTGAAATTTTAATTGGAAAAACCAAATGAATAAATTTAAAAGTGGAGAAAAAGCCCCAAATCTCCCGACATTCAGCCCACGAATGTGCGCAATTTAATTGACACTTGTCATATAACCTCTCACTTGCTGAAAAGTCTCAGGCCATGGTGGGGCACGGAATGAGAGGCCGCAGGCTCCCTGCATAGAGACCCCAATTTTGAGACCCCCCCACGCTTTTTAAAAAGGGCTTTTTAAATGACCGACAAGTCAGGGACGCCTTCTGCACCCTTCGCCCTGCAGGAAAGAGACTTGCTGAAATCCTTCCAAATCCCCGCCGACACCTTCATCACCTTCATGATGACCTTGGAGGACCACTACCACGCGGACGTGGCCTACCACAACAACATCCACGCGGCCGACGTGGCCCAGTCCACCCACGTCCTGCTCTCCATGCCGGCTCTGGAGGTGAAGAGGGAATTCTGGGGGAGGCGGGGAGGGGAAGAGTTTGGGGGTCACACAACATAACTCTGCTGGCCTTTTTAGCTTGTGGCTCGCAGTATCATAGAACTATAGTGTCGGAAGGGACCCTGAGGGTCATCCAGTCCAACCCTCTGCAACGCAGGAATCTCAGCTTAAGCATCCATAGCAGACGGCCATGCAACCTGCTGAATTTCTAGTGGCAGAGAGTTCCACAGGACTGGGCTGATGACACTAAAGCCTTGGTTGCTCGTTGCTTGTCAACTTGGGGAACAGTTTATATTGCAGGCTACCCTGTGGTCCTTTTAATAAATTTAATAAATAGATACAATGAAAATAGATACAATGAAATACAATGAATAGATGAATAGATACAATGAAAAAATGAGCAACAGCATTCCAGCAGTTGGGCTGGTGAATGAATAGGAAGACCTTGAACCTGGCTCAGTAGTTGATTCCCCCATCCAAAAACTGACTGCCACATTCGGCCCCAGCCTTGCAGGAATCCAGCCTTGAGGACCACAGTGGTCACTTGCCTCCTGACGGTGCCAGTGCCCAGCCTGGCTCCCCAGTTCAAGATCTGCTCACCCCATCATTAGCTTTGTCCTCCTCACTTTCCTCCCCTTTTTGTCTCCCCTCCATCTGCTCGCTCCAGGCCGTCTTCACCGACTTGGAGATTTTGGCCGCCATCTTTGCGGCCGCCATCCACGACGTCGACCACCCCGGGGTCTCCAACCAGTTCCTGATCAACACCAGTGAGTAGGCCGTGTCGGCTGATTGGGGGCAATTCCCATCTTTCCAGCTGTTCCTGAGAACGTCCCCTCCTGTCCTTCCTTCCTTTACCTGGGGCAGGTTTGCCCCACTTTGCATAGGACGTCCCAAAGTGAAGTGCAAAAAGCGATAACAAGAAGCGATAACAAGAGGACAGGATGTTGGACTAGGAAAAGGGCCTCTTGTAGCCTGATAGTTGTGCAAATGTGTGGGATGTGATCCGTGAGAGGCAGTCAAGTGCAACATTCCTTGTAATCCTAGAGAAGACATGCGAGGGAATGTTTGGTCCAGCAGGTCGAAACTTCCTGCACCTCCTGGCTGGAGCATCCTTCCTTTTGCATGTGATCAAAGGTGGGCGTGGCCTCACCTGTCCAGGTAACAAAAGGACGAGTCACACAGCACCTCTCTCTCTTTTTGACTTCTTTCTTCGTTTGACCAGCTTCTAGCTAGGACTGCTCTGCTAGCTCTCAGAAGCACTGGGATTATTCCCCCATATGGGGCAGATCCGCATGTACATTTTTGTAACTAAGTCTGCCTCCAGGGATCCAACTGTGAACTGATGTGAGTCAACTTCTTTCATTGACTTTGAATAAGATTGTGGCAGCTTTATTCTGTTAAGAGGGATTCAAGGGAACTTACCAGGAACGTACAATTCAATCTGAGACAGATTGAATTTTATAATGGTGAGAGGCTCACACGAGCCTGCAACCAGCGTGCATGTAAAAGGGAAATGTAACTCGCCTACATAAAAGAACTTGCTAGCGCAAGTTTGGAAGGATATGAATAAACAATATATCCTCTCCTGCCACCTGGAACATTCCTACAAAATGTTGGTCGGCTGCTTCAAGCCCCTATGTGAATCTGCTCCCTTACTCTCTTTCTCACCCACATGTGTGGCCTCCTCTGATCCGGAGACATCCCCTGTCAAACTGACCACCCTTTTTCCGCCCCTAGATTCGGAGCTGGCGCTGATGTACAACGATGCGTCGGTACTTGAGAACCACCACCTGGCTGTGGGCTTCAAGCTCTTGCAAGAGGAAAACTGCGACATCTTCCAGAACATCTCCAAAAAGCAACGGCAGTCTCTTCGCAAGATGGCCATCGACATGGTGAGGAGCTCAGGGCTTAGCTTATTTTGGGGGCTGCTCTTTTGTTTAATATTGCTTATTTTGTTCGCTAGATTATAAACACCGTGTTTATTTGTTAATCATATAATATGGCTTTCCTTTAGTTGTGATGTTTGGCTTATTTTTTAGTTGTTGCCTTGTTCACAGTATTTTATAGACTGCAATTGTTTCACTGCTGATTTGCGGTATTTGTGATGTTCTAATACGTTTTATCACGTTGTTATTATTTGTTGTTTGCAAGCCGCTTTGGGATTAATTTGAATGGAAAGCGGCATAGAATAAAATCCTTTCCCCTCCGTGGTTTCTGGTCTCAGGTCCTGGCAACAGATATGTCCAAACACATGAACCTTCTGGCTGATCTGAAGACGATGGTAGAGACCAAGAAGGTCACCAGTTTGGGGGTCTTGCTTTTGGACAACTACTCCGACCGCATTCAGGTGAAACTTCTTTTGGAGGGGACAGGGGTTCGAGGATCCTTCAGGTGGAGGGCAACCCCATCCAGGGTTGACCCATTTCTCAGACACACAAACCTGGCAGGATTCGAGCTCAGCTCACTTTTGCTCATCCATCCTGCCACTGCATCCAATTAAATTTGTAGCTCGGCAGTGTGAATCCAAGATTAAAATCAGGATATAATTTTATACAACATAATATATCATCATAGGGGAGAGGGGAGTCTGCTGCCTACCAGGCAGACTCCTCCATCGGTGTCGTGGGCATAACAATAATAATAATTAAAAATAATTTATTTATACCCCACCCATCTGGCTGGGTTTCCCAAGCCACTCTGGATAGCTTCCAACAAAAGATTAAAAATACATTAAAACATCAGTTGTTAAAAACTTCCCTAAACAAGGCTGCCTTCAGATGTCTTCTAAATGTCAGATTGTTGTTTATTTCTTTGACATCTGATGGGAGGGCGTTCCACAGGGAGGGCGCCACCACCGAGAAGGCCCTCTGCCTGGTTCCTGGTAACCTCACTTCTCGCAGGGGGTAACCGCCAGAAGGCCTTCAGGAGATGGACCCCGGTGTCCGGGCTGGAGACGCTCCTTCAGATATACAGGACCAAGGCTGTTTAGGGCTTTCAAGGTCAGCACCAACCCTTTGAATTGTGCTCGGAAACGTCCTGGGAGTCCAATACGTTCCTCCAAATGTCCCCCGAAGGTTCAGGCTTGACAGCGACGCATCTCTGCCCTTCCAGGTGCTGCAGAACATCGTTCACTGCGCAGACCTCAGCAACCCGACCAAACCCCTGGAGCTGTACCGCCAGTGGACGGACCGGATCATGGTGGAATTCTTCCACCAGGGAGACCGGGAGCGGGAGAAGGGCATGGAGATCAGCCCCATGTGCGACAAGCACAACGCCTCCATAGAGAAGTCCCAGGTGGGTGCGCCAAGGGGGGCTTGTCGGTGGGTTGGGGGGGCACCCTCCAAGGATGAGCCACACCTGGAAACGAGGGGGCTTCCTGCGGAAATACCCTGTCTTTCGAGTTACAGCTTCATCTCCCTACGCAATTGTGAGCCTTTCGTGGGTTTCCGATGCCGGTTGTGCGTTCAAATATTTCTCCCTGTCCGGTTTCTGTGACCATTCACCAAACTTTCCGCTTGCACCTTGTAGGATTCCCTTTTGGAGGGGGCCACAGACATCTTCTGCATCTGGTTTCCTAATTTATTTTATTTAATGTTTTGACCCAACGTGGACAGCTTTTTCCCTTTTCTTGTTTTAAGGAGAGTGGGCGACGCCTCCGGTTCGTTTCTGAGTTTTGCCAGCCGGTTTCCAGTCACACCTTGTATTTATCTGAGCCAGTTGCAAAAAGGCGTTATTTTATTTTACTTTTTGAGCTTTGGTTCTGAATTGAGACTGGCGTCCTGGGAAGCGAAGGGCATTCCTTGCTTCTGCGTCCTCTCAGCCCCTGTCTTTGTCTCCCTTCCGGCAGGTGGGATTCATCGACTACATCGCTCACCCTCTCTGGGAAACCTGGGCTGACCTCGTCCACCCGGACGCCCAGGAGATCTTGGACACCCTCGAAGACAACCGCGAATGGTACCAGAGTATGATCCCACACAGCCCCCCGCCGCCCCCCGACGGGCTGGCGTCCGAGAAAGGAGCCCCTGACAAGTTCCAGTTCCAGCTCACGCTGGAAGAGGAAGACGGAGAGGATTCGGGCGCCGAGAGCCCCCTGGAAGAAGACCACAGCGAGGCGAAAACCCCAGGGACCACCGATGACTCAGAGTCGGCCCCCGAGCCTCTGGCGTCCCCCATGGACAAGCAGAGCAGCCCCCCAAGGAACGTCCTGGCGATGCAGAACTTTGATAACCAGAGGACACTCTTGCAGAGTGACGGGGGCTCAGCCACGGGGGCCACCACCAAAAGGAGCACAACCGAGGCTGGTCTTGATCAAGAAGGGAATATCACCTTCCTGCCCCTTGGGACGTAACGGGGAAGAGGGGTTGGGGAAAAGGCACTGTTGTCGCTCCATCTTGGCGGCGTCACGGGGTGGGTGTGTCTTGAAAGGCCTCTCCGCCACCGGAAAAAGGTCCGCCATGGTGGTCTCCTTGCCTTCTTCCCGGGAAAACTGTGGAAGAACGCCAACGGCGGGCGTGTGCCCAGGGGCAGAAGGCCACGCCTCGCCCCTCCTGTCTTCCTCCCACCATTTTCCACCCTGGGTTGTGCCACAAGCCCAGCCATGGGGAGAAATCTTCCCCCTTCCTCCTGGGACCTGCGTGGTTCCAATGCGGACCGAGCCCACGGGAGAAGAGGATCCATGGGTGACCGCAAGCTTTGTGGGCAGAGGGTCGCAAGTTCCGTCCCTGACAACTCCCGTTTTTTAATTTTTTTAATGATTTTGGGTAACCTCAACAGGCTGAGAAAAGGCCTTTTTCCCCGTCTGTGAGACTGACTTTGAGGATCCGTTGGGGGTCTGTCTAAATGCACATGAACCACCCGACTTGCATTCTCTCCAAATGTTGGTTTCACTGGTGGGGTGGCGGAGCTTGGGCTGTGCGCGGTCCAGGTTCGAATCCCGCTTCTTGGTCCAGGTTCGAATCCCACTTCGGCTTGAGACCTTGCGTGCGACGTGGGGATGGATGGGTGAGTTGCACTGGACTTGAAAAGGCCCCTTTGGGTGTTGCTTCTGCAAGCGGAGGGCTGTGCAGAGAGAAAGCACCCAACGCCACTCTCCCCAGCACAAGCAAACCAGTATCCCTCCAGTGACCCGAGAAATTATCCAGTTATTGCTCTTCACCCGACAGGCTCCCCCAGGGAGATTCACCTCCTTCCTCTTCTCCCTTTCTAAGTCTCCTCCTGGAACCTGCAGGAATCCAGGCCTTGCTCCACGTTTTCTCGCCCCCGATATCCGCACTGGAAACAAACTTCGGCAGGCTAACGTCCCGCGCTGTCTTTTCTCCTCGATGGAAATATTTATAGACAGCTATTTTTAAAAAAGAAGAAGAAATCTGCCATGTTTTTTCTCTTCAAGGCACTGCTTCAGAGTGAAAACACCCTGTACATTTCCTCCCCCACCCTCTCCATTTTCCATTTTCCCCTTTTGCAGTGCCCCCCCCCCAGAAAGGGCAGAACGGATATAAATACTTTCAGGATTTGGGAAGAGATGAAGCTGGGTATTTTTAAAAGGAGATCGGGGTTGGGGATGTTCTCGGGAACAAAACAGGAAGTGAATAAGACATCCAGGGGGGTGTATGTGAGGGGGAGAGACCCTGCGGGGTGAATTCATCTTTAGAGCAGACCCCTTAAGACTCTAAGAATCTTATATACAGTGGTACCTTGGTTCTCAAACTGAATCTGTTCCGGAAGTCCGTTCCAAAACCAAAGCGTTCCGAAACCAAGGTGCGCTTTCCCATAGGAAGTCATGCAAAACGGATGAATCCGTTCCAGACTTTTAAAAGCAACTCCTAAAACTGCAATTTAATGTGAATTTTACTATCTAATGAGACCATGGATCGATAAAACAAAAGCAACCACCAATGCACTGTGCTACAAAATAAATAAGACAGTATTGTAGATGGTAATTTCTTTTAAAAATCTTGGCTGCACTGATGATAGTCATTGTTTGGATGAGGGGCTTTTATCCATTTCCGCAGTCACACAATCAACCCATCAGTAGCTGAACTGGGTTCCACACAGTCACAGAAACAAATGAACAGAAAAAGCTTCAAAAACAAAAACGCAAAATAAGGAGCAAAAAACAAAGCGCCAAACTTAATCTGTTCCGGAAGTCCGTTTGACTTCCGAAATGTTCAAAAACCAAGGCATGGCTTCTGATGGGTGCAGGCACCCCAGAAACAATAGCCGACAGCCGCATTGGACGATCGGCTTCCGAAAAAATGTTCAAAAACCGGAACACTCACTTCCAGGTTTTCGGCATTTGGGAAGCAAGGCGTTTGAGTACCAAGGTACCATGTACAAGCAAGGAAATTGGGATGGGGGGAGTCCCCAAGCCACAGCAAACGAGGCTACCACCTTTAATTTATTAGATGAGCTTTTGTAGCCTTAAGTTTTAACAATAATAACCTGGAAGTGTTGGATTTGAAGTGTGCTAACCCTCACAACCAGTCCGCTCACCCCTGTTTCGTTGTCCGATACTGATATTACTGTGACTTGCGTTCAGAAACACTGCATTATGTGTGTGTATATAATAGAATAATTTTTTTTCCACATGGCACTTTGAGTTTCCTGACCGGCCGCTGAGCCCTAGGCTGGGAACAGCACCTTGTTTTTCTACGGCACCTTGTCTCCCCCAGTATAATTTCCATGTAAAAAAACCAAATGCTGATTTATTTTATTTTATTTTATATCTATTTTTAAAATCATGCTATAAAGCTACAGCACTTGAAACCTAAGTCTCTGCACCAAACATCTTGCAATAATGGGAAAATGGGCAAAAAAATGTTGGTGGGTGGGAAGATGGAAGTGCGGTGAGTTGGTTGTGATTATTATTTATTGAATTTATATACCGCCCTATACCCAGAGGTCTCAGGGCGGCTTGCAGTGGCCGTGATGAGGCGAGGGAGAAGGAGATACAGGAAAATTTGGGAAGAAATTCAAAGGAAGAGAGAGCCAACAATATGATGGCTGAGAACACATTTATTATTACAGTATTATTATTATTATATATACACCACTTCATTGTAAAAAAAAAAACACCTCAGAAGCAGTTGGAAGCTGGGGCAACCCAATCAGATGGGCGGGGTACAAATAATGAAATTATTATTATTACGATTATTAAGGGCACCAGAGGCTACTAGGCAATATGAAAGGGCCCTCCTCTTTTAAACCTTCCCTCTTTCCCCCAGAATACACTTTGAGAGGCATCATTAAGGCATCATCACTACATCACTAGCATGCCACAAATGGGGAGGGGTAAAAGGTAAAAAATAAAGGACCCCCGGATGGTTAAGTCCAGCCAAAGGTGACTCTGGGGTTGCGGTGCTCATTTTGCTTTCAGGCCGAGGGAGCCGGCGTTTGTCCACAGACAGCTTTCTGGATCATGTGGCCAGCAGGAGAAACCGCTTCTGGAGCAGAGGGACACCATGACGGAAACCAGAGCGCATGGAAATGCCATTTACCTTCCTGTCGCAGCAGTTTATCTACTTGCTCTGGCGTGCTTCCGAACTGGTAGGTTGACAGGAGCTGGGACAGAGCAATGGGAGCTCAGCCCGTCGCGGGGATTCGAACCACTGACCTTCTGATCAGCAAGCCCAAGAGGCTCAGTGGCTTAGACCAGGGGTGGCCACAACTCCCAAGAGACTGTGATCTACTCACAGTTAAAGACTGGCAGTGATCTACCTGCTTTTTTGGGGTTCAGGTCAAAGTTGTTTGGGAGGTTGAGGTCAGGGTTGTTGAGCTTTCTAAGGGAGGACGAAAGCCCCATTTTTGGGGGGGTGCAGGGTAATTTAAATGTTGAAGTTTTTGGGGGGAAGCCAGTGATCTACCACAGGCATCCAGTGATCTACCGGTACATCACTATCTACCTGTTGGACGTGCCTGGCTGAGACCAAAGCGCCACCTGTGTCCTAGGGGAGGGGTATACAAGGGTTACACAAGTTTGACATTAGGTCTCTTGATCAGACACCTTTCCCAAGGCCTCTTAAGTCCCCATCACTGAAAGAACATGAAAACTCTTGACATCTCCTTGCCCCCCGCACTTGTCTGGAGATGGGCTTTCAGAACACCTGCCTCTGCGGATGTCTATTGTTGCCCCCTTGATCACACCCTGGGTGGGGTGCCGTGGATGTGCTCTCCCGCTTGGGGAATTCTGGCGGGTTGCCCTGTTCCTGCTTCTTGGCTCAGGGAGGGAGGTGGAGCCCAAACTCACCTTTCTCTCAGGGTTCAAATGGCGTTGGAATGAGGAGAGTCGGTTAAAGTATGGATTTTCTACGAATTTATGAAGCTAGGCATCTTCCCTGGGCTGTCAAGTCGAAAGGATACATTCTGGCATAATAGTTGTACCATTGCAACAACTTTCAAGATGTGTCCCCCATGTCATTTCCGTAACACTATTTCAATCGTTCACTCCTTCAGGGCATCTCTAGGGAGAAACTCTGCCCAAAGCCCTCCAGACCCACTGCTTCCTACACTGCTCTTGAGACAGCTCCTTTCTTCAGAACCATGAGGACTAGACCAGGGGTAGGCAACCTAAGGCCCAGGGGCCGGATCCGGCCCAATCACCTCAATCCAGCCCACGGATGTGTTTTCACATGAGTAGAATATGTCCTTTTATTTAAAATGCACCTCTGGGTTATTTGTGAGGCATAGGAATTCGTTCATACCCCCCAAATATATATATATATATATATATAGTCGGCCCCCCACTGAAAAGGTTTGCTGACCCCTGAAGGACACTTCCTTCCTTCCTTCCTTCCTTCCTTCCTTCCTTCCTTCCTTCCTTCTCTCTTTCACTCCCTTTCTTCCTTCCTTCCTCCCTCCCTCCCTTCCTCCTTCCTTCTCTTCCTTTTTTCCTCCCCTCCTCTCTCTCTCTCTCTCTCTCATATCTTGATCTGCCAGGAGAAAGGACCCTGGGGCAGTGACTGGGTGACCCGGAATGGACAATCAAAGAGGGGTGATAATCTCCTTCCTCAAGTCTTTCTCCAGAGGGCAAGCCGTGTCTTATGATACACTCTTTCATGGAAGAAGAGAGGCTCTGCCATGACGTTCTTCTTGTAAGGCCGCCTTACAAGGAGAAGATGACAAATGCCCCTTTTCACCCCCAACCCTCCTTCCCTCTCTGCAAATCCGTCACTGTCAGGCCCGGCTTCCAAATAACATAAATATTTAAGCCCAAGGTGGGACAGCTTATCTTTGCTGCCGGCTTGCTGCTTCCCCTCGGCACCCTTGATTCATTGCATGCATGTCAACGCCCGGTTCAAGATGTCTCCACGAGGATTTGGCGATTGCAGTTGGGGGGCCAGTTGGGGCAGCTTGCAAGAACTCCCACTTCTCATTCATATACAACACACACACACACACACACACACACACACACACACACGGTATCTTGATTCTCAAACTTAATCCGTTCCAGAAGTCCGTTCCAAAACCAAGGCACGCTTTCCCATAGGAAGTCAAGCAAAACCATTCCAGACTTTTAAATGTTTAGTCGTTTAGTGGTGTCCGCCTCTTGGTGACCCCCTGGACCAGAGCACGCCAGGCCCTCCTGTCTTCCACTGCCACCCTCAGTTTGGTCAAACTCATGCTGGTAGCTTCGAGAACACTGTCCCACCATCTCGTCCTCCGTCGTCCCCTTCTCCTTGCGCCCTCCATCTTTCCCAGGATCAGGGTCTTTTCTAGGGAGTCTTCTCTTCTCATGAGGTGGCCAAAGTGATCCCTTCGTGGATCACTGCCTTGTGAAGGGGCTTGAAGAACTCAGAGAAGTTATGAGCTCTGCCGTGCAGGGCCACCCAAGATGGACGGGTCATAGTGGAGGGTTTTGACCAAAGGTGATCCACCTGGAGCAGGAACCGGCGAGCCACTCCAGTATCCCTGCCAAGAAAACTCCATGGACAAAGGCAACAGGCATATAAAAGTTATGACGCTGGAAGATGAGTCCCTCAGGTCGGAAGGCGTCCAACATGCTACTGAGGAAGAGCGGAGGACAAGTACAAGTAGATTCAGAGCTGATGAAGCGGCTGGGCCAAAGCCGAAAGGACGCTCAGTTGTGGATATGCCTGGAAGTGAAAGGAAAGTCCAGTGCTGTAAAGAAAAATATTGTGTAGGAACCCGGAATGTAAGAACCATGAACCAAGGTAAGCTGGATGTGGTCAAAAATGAGATGGGAAGACTTTTAAAAACAATCCCTCAAACAGCCAATTAATGTACTCCAGGCGACTTCCAACATATATAGAAACAGAACCAATGTCTTCTCAAAGTTGGATAGCCACTTATCTCCTTGGTTCGGGGGGCCACATAACTCCATCCCCTTCCAGCATTTCTCCCGTGAAAATAGGGAGGTGCTAAGGAAATAATAATAATATAATAATTTATTATTTATACCCTGCCCATCTGGTTGGGTTTCCCCAGCCACTCTGGGTGGCTTCCAGCAAAATATTAAAATACAATAATTCATCAAATTAAACAGCAGAAAAGCGGGATCAAATGAGAAATCTTCTGTAAATCCTGGGAAATAGGGGCACTCGGAGGGTGGTGCAGCTAGGCCGGGACCCGTGCCTCTGTGCATGTGCCGAGTGCCTCCCCTCTGCAGCAGCTGTGAAGGGATTCTTCCAGGATCCTTGCAACAACCTGGGTGTTTCCAAAACCTCAACTTAAAATTGGAGTTAGGTTGCCACCTTGTGGCCACATGGCAAGTCTGTAGAATCCTCCGCCACATTGCAAACAGATTACA